TCTTCTTCTAGTGCAATTAGATTCGAAATAATATTTGCAGTGGTGTAACAGTGGATAAAGTTCGATCGATATTCATGGTGAATGTCATTGTACTTCACCGGTTTTTCTGAGATTCATATTTTTATCAGATTGAACCATTGAAATGAATCTGTATCTTGCTTAGTTTTTGAGGAAACAATAAAAACTCGAGTTGACTCCAAATTATAATGTAGGTGTTTTCAAGACTTATTGGGATTACTCAATAACCACAATCAGAATTATTTTGAAATTTTGTGACTATCTCAGTCTCCATCCATACTGAATTTTGAATTTTGGCACCATGAAAGCTTATACAGGGGGATTATAAATAAAAAATAGTCAATACTTACAACTTCAATATCCTGTATCTCAAAAACGAAGCAAGTTAGGACAAATGTGTATATAAACTTCATCTGCTAAAATGTCACAAGGAAACACCCTTTGAATTTTCTCGTTGTTATTTAGATACACCCTGTATTTAATTGAAAATATATAACAACTATCGAAATTTCACTAGAAGTGAAACGTGTTGTACGTCTAATTGCACCCTTCGAATTCGATATTTTTGTTCTTTATAATTCTCCCTGCGTTCACCCCTATTCGATCGCCGACCCTGCCTATCAACCTGAAGAACGCACATATTAACAGTTATTTCCCATGTCTCACTATATTCACCTCGATCCGTGGGAACTTCGCATGCCTATACAGATATTTCACATGGCTCCATTTACCCTTTACAATGATGCCACGTCTACCTTCACGGAATACCGACACATAACAATTACATCATTTAATAGACATGAAACTTGACACTACTCAAACTAGTCGAACTGAGAAGATTCTTATTACCTGTTCGTTTATATTGCTGAACTTGCTGAACTTGATTTTTTTCCATAGTTGTCTCTGTTCATGGCATGATGTAAACAGAGAAAGTCATAAAAAAAATCAAGTTCAGCAGGTACAGCAAGCACAAACGAACAGGCCAGTAAATCAGAATATGTGTCTGATATACTTCGGAAACCAATTATCTTTCACTTGAGACATTTCATCAATTGACTCAAACACGTTTTAGGAACAAACCAGTCAACACAAATGACCTATAAATAAAACTTCAATAAAAATGCATCTGAAACGTTACATATACCGGGTGGCTACGGAAGTATTGCCTACGGAATATCTCAGTTATTGTATGAAGTAGGTTTGTGAATTTTAAGCGTCGATATAATGACATAAGAGCTAGAATTTGGGCATATTGACAGGTCTGACTGTGAAAAAGTTGTATGTTCCTATTCAAGTTATGGACCTACATAGTGTTGTTTTTTCCCAATTTTTCCAATTTTTTTTTGGTGGCTTTTTATAACGCCAACGAATGAAAATAAAATATCACAGTAGTAGCAACTGTTATCAAGTGACGTATGGTTTCCATAGCCAACTTTTCAATTTTTGGCTTTCATTTTGCTTCCACGGCCTACCTACAGTACCTACTCGGTGAATTTCAATAATAATTTTTTTCTGACCTAGTTTCTGGTTAGATACCAACTTGTGATATGTCATTAGAAAGGGAATTGAATGCTGAATGAAGCGAAAAGAAAAAAAATTGGGTTTCCATTTAAAATAAGAAAGTTGATGTTACTTCCGGTCAGACCGGAAGTTAACTTCAACATGTCAATATGCCCAAATTCTAGCTCTTATGTCATTTTATCGACGCTTGAAATTTCACAAACCTACTTCATACAATAACTGAGATATTCCGTAGGCAATACTTCCGTAGCCACCCGGTATATGCACTGAGAGAAACTGGATATTAAAAATATCTACCAGCTCTGATTGTAATAACCATTATATGGAAATCTCCTATTCCTGATAATTTTATTATTACCACAGTATTCTCTCCATTCTGTAATTATAAAAATCGATTTCTTAAATCATTTGTAATACCCTTGAATGGACATTTGCTACTATCATAACGCAGGTGTGTTATGACATTATGAGAATTTTATAAATTCCAGTCTATTTAGATTTTTTATTGACATAGCTCGTTTTGTGAATTATACTCAATGGCGAATTCAGATAATGTTTGTCCCAATAATCATAGCTGTTCGAGTTTCTAGCATTGTACGTTGACGAATAACTCTAGCAATTCACATGTATGACGGTTATTAGGCAATCATTCGACAATCGTAATTCGGCTCAGTTCGCTCTAGTGTTTCATTAGTATTGTGGCTGACAAAGATACAGATCGCGTTCATTTCTCTGTTCTCGGTCATGGGTGCCCGTGTTCAATTATTGTTCAATGGTTTCGATCGTCCGAATCGAAAGAGCCGTGTCTTGTTGGTGAATGTCTATAATGTAGCAAAGTTTTGTTTTAGTGCTGGCTGTGAACCGATCTGTGGAATACACCGTACACCGTGCATTGCATTATTGCAATGAAAAAAGTATTCTCCATACCCACTTTTCAAGGCCTAAAATTGGTTCATTTCAAAAACAAAATGATCGATGATATTCTGAATCAAAATATCTGGGTTTCTGTGAGGGAAGTTTTATTGACAATTCTCATCATAACTCCGAAGGAAGGGTAAATATAAGTATTCAACTTCTCATTTCTTAATAAATTCGTCAGTAATGCATATAGATGATATTTCTCCGAACAAATCAATGAGTTATGTCAAAAAACTTCCACAGATACCCCAATATTTCAATTCAGAGACTGAACGTATTTTTTTGTTTTTTTGAAAACAATAACTTTGGATCATGAAAAGTGATAGTGTGGATAGGATATTTATTTTCATTGCAGTAATTCAAAGCACGGTTTCATAATGCATACCATCGAATAATGTTGATAACCTTATTACCACTGTTTGATGAATATACTAGAGTAGAAAAATATTGGGATACCTGTTGAAAATGAGCTACATTACAATAGCATGTCGAAATGTCAGGTTTCATGCAGATATCAGATAACTATAATAAAATGAGACGAATTACTGCGTTACCTCAAGATGGTTGTGCCAGTAATGAAAACATGCTGTTTTATGTCGATAGTCTAATAACCACTGTAGAGTGGAGAGTTACTGCAACATTTTATGGGAATAATTCCTATTCGACATCCTGTGTTATCATAGAAACTAGAACAAGTAGTAGTTATTCAGCAGCGGTGTTTTTATACAAGTTTGCAAATTGAATAAGCTGCCATAACTACAAGTCACCTGAAAATTCACTTCATCTATGGTAGCACATGAACACATCTGTCCCCTATTTATTGCAGATATCGTAATAACGGTTATCAGATTTCCAATTATGATAACTCAAGTTTTCTCTCAGTGTGAAAAATGCCTATGAATATATTCTGAAATATTTCACTGACTGTATCAAATGAAACACATGAGGAGAATTTCACGTAATATGGTTGATGGAACGTTCCAGAGATGTTTCATCTTTATGGTAGATATGTGTCAGACACATTTTTTGTCGTGACATGTAATAGTCACGGTTCGTTTCTGAAACATTCGTTTGAAATATTTCGAGCGATTCCTTTTAGAGTTCATCTGAAATGTTTCATACACATTATGGGTTCACTAGGTCATAACTTGTTAGGAAATTGGGAACATTGTACGATAACTGGTACTTATGCTCGATATTCTGTGAAGACAATATCGCTCTCAGCACATATCTTGAGTATATTTGATATTTGATTATTTTATAACGAATACTGTTTTCATGTATGAGGTTCAGCATCCAAACATACGCTGATCGATGCTCTTATATTCCATCCAGAGAAGAGTCATTCGCCTGGTGGGGTATGCCACACTCACCAACTCTTTGACCCCATTAGAACACAATATAAGAGTCGGCGACCTTTCACTTTTCTATAGATACTTCCACCGGAAATGTTCCTCACGAATCTCTGCTATAGTTCCATCACTAGCAATACCAGTCAGACGAACTCGACAGGCTCAGTCAGCACATCCTTTCGTCGTTAACCTTGCAAAATGTCGATCAAGACTCTACCAAAACTCGTTCGTGTGTATAGAACGGCGAAGCTTTGGAATTCTTTGCCAATGGAAGTATCCCAAGAACTTATAACCTCCAAAAGTTCAAAAAAATACCCACAACTACCTCCTCTCCCTATACTCCCCTAGGTGCCCGCGATGTTCCACGAACATTATAGGAATTTCCTTTCGTGCGCTCCAAGAGATAAGAAAAAATCTGTTGTAACTGAATATCATACTCATTCACCTGTTCATCGTTTATAAAAACCTCAGATGTCCTGCAAAATAATTGGGTACAGTGAAATGGCGTTTTTTTTGTGGGGGGGGGGTTCATCTAGTTAAACATGAATAGCCAATAATGGTAAGATGTAGCGGTACCCCCATAGCTATATCCAATTACAGTTCCAGAATAGTTGCATTATAAGATGTAACCAGTATAAACATCATTTGTTCTAATTTTCTATCGGGCAGTCATATCTTCAGAAATAACTATCAACATCATATTGGATTGATCAGTTGAAAAGTATTTGACTGGACACGAAGCAATGAATTCTCAAGTGATTTATATACTTGGTAACTAATGCTTATAATCTCAATTCTCAACTCTTTTCATATCAAGCAAAATACTCACAATAAATCAACAACTTTATCAATAGAGATTACCATACGTGCAAATTTTGGTTGGTACCTCAAACGATATACATGAACTAATTCACAATTTCAGAATGAATTATTGAATCAAATTGAACAAGAGAATGATTCAGATATAATTTGTTGATCTGAGAAACATATCAATGCATTCCAGATGATCTTGCCATTTTCGGATTATCAAGGAAATACTAGGATACTCGGCAACGTCGCTGGTCTCGTGTTACGCTATGCTGGGCTGGTAGTGGCCACCGAAGAAAAGGACACCCTCTGACCAGCAGCAGTGGTGGGGATGCCTATTCCCACGATGTGGAGGAATGTCTTCTCCTGGTTTTCGAAAACAACAATCACTTGCTGGATGTCATTTGACCCAGCACAAGGTCTCAGTGAACTTGCGAAATATCGGAAATTGAATCTGTGGAGTTCTTGTGTTTTTTTGTTGACTATAAAATTGTGAAAACATATATCTGCGAAGTGCTATTTTTTTCCATACTGGATTTTTCAAAGGATATTACTACTAACCTTGACCATTGGATAATTTGAAATAAGGTAAATATTTCTAAGTACAATACATAGAAGGACCATGTTATTTTTTTCTGAGTATATCCAGATTATAAACTCTCGAAGGCTGGCCAAGTTGAAAATGTTTTTATAAATATTTTTGGAACATCGAATAGGATGAAAAGCTTTATAATTGATATAATGTATACCTTGAGATCTAAAGAATATGAAAGAATCAAACATTATTCGACAATTTTCAAGTGACGAGTAAACCAGGTCTGACCTTGAGAAAACCTTGCTCAAACTCTGAACTTCTTGTACTGCCATTGTTTAACAGTTTTTAGTTCACAAATATGCGAAATACCTACTAGATCCTCGACTAGATCCTTCCACAAAATATATGATAGTTGTACCATTTTCTTACATTTTTCTAGGAAGCTTTCCTTCTGATTTAAAAAAAAAATTAAAACTATTGCATTAGTTATATAGTTATAGTTATGTTTATGGAATTAGACTTTGCATCAACTTTCTTCTGCGATTTTTCACCAGATATTATTATTTATCTGTTTGAAATTCGGAGTTCCTTATAAAAACATTTTCATCTGAGCTCAACACAGATTGGGTAGAAGACGTTTTCACAGTCAAGTCTTTCTTTAACAATAATAACTCATCACTGTTACCTACGCCTGTACCTACTTTTCAAGGAAAAAATCATTCGTTCAAAACAAATAAGTGATCAAATATAGTCACAGATTTCTGAGACTAACATAACGCAAATCAAACATATTTAGAGAATAGAACAATCCAAAATATGAGTGCTGAGTAGATTCAAAATGTTCCAAAATGTCAACATCCAATAACTCCATACTTATTCATCATTATCGACCCATATATTGTTCTCAGGAATCTAATCTTGTCAATCTTGATCACTTCTTTATATAATTTGCGTATAATAATGCATCACACAATCACCTTCAATTATTAAAGTCCCTCTCTTTTCTTGTTTCAGTCCAATTAGAATCCACTTCAGCGAAATATGCCTATCAGCGAAGACGAGTTTGAATACGGAAGATCCCAGGAACCACAATCGACAATGTCCAAAGCAGAGCTGAGAAAAACACACAAACCTATCATGGAAAAACGGAGACGAGCTAGGATCAATCACTGCTTGAACGAGATAAAGTCCCTCATCTTAGAAGCCATGAACAAAGATGTAAGTACCATACATCTACACTAATAATTTATTATTATAAGAAGGAAAGATTCGATGGGTTGTTTGTATTGAATATGCTCTGGAACTACTGGACTGATTTGAAAAATGCTTTCACTATTAGAAGATGAAATTATCCCTGATGAACATAGGTTTCTTTTAACGGCAGAATTCCTACGGAAAAACTGGTAGTAGGACATCGGGTAAGAAGAATTATCCTTCCGTACATATCGTTTTCACATAACTTCTAAAATGCTGAACCGATTGGGTTGAAATTTTATATGGGTATTCCGATTCCTTCCTGGATAATTTGAAAATATAATTGACTGACTATGAAGTCACTATAAATTACTTATTTCACCTGGAGTGATTGGGTCTTTAGTTGGTAGAGGCAGGGCAGTGTCTCATCAAACGGTTGAAACTTCATGACTTCTATTGAATTTTTTCATTCACATATTGGTCTACTGATTTGTTTGGGTAGATACTCAACAATATCATTGGGGTTCTAGAACTTAAGAAAACAAATCCAAGTATCTTTTCTGCTGATCGATTTTACTATTCTAATAAATTTCTAGGGTGTTCCTTATAAAGATATGCTAATATTCGAGGGGAAGATTCTTCAACGCCTTTCAAGAAAAAAACTTCCCACTAACTCACGTCCTAAAAGTCTTGACTTTTGAGATACAGTGTGATAAAGTTTTAAAAAAATCATTTTTCTAATAACAACTGGAATAATATTGTAGTCATCTTCATAAAATTTGGTACATATCTATTATGCATCAAGGTGCATTTTTTTATGTATAAAAATTTTCCTTTTTTCTGCCAGTGGCGCTGTTAGGGGTATATGATTGATTATATTTTACTTGAAAGTGAGCAACGAAAGAATATTTCCAAATTTAATAAACTTCAAATTTTGATGTAAATGCCAAGCTTGAGTACTCCATTCAGGACAGCTATTACTGGATAACCACAGTATGTAACATTTTGAAATTTTTGCACCGTTTCAGTCACATAGCAGAATGAATTTTGCCATCAGGAAAAGCTATACAGGGTGGACAAAAATAGAATACATGTATATTGAATATTATAGCATGTCATTAAGGATCACCCTGTATATATGGGCAATATTGGTCCAATATGTAATTGGCGAGATAATAGTTATTTATTTACCAAGGTTGTAAGGAATATCACTATCACCCAGGGACCAAGATTATAAGGTCCCGTGCTGATAATAATTTTCGTTACTACCAAGGTGTATATTAAATTTTTCTCACCACTAGCACAATATTTCAATCATTTCAGTTCTGTGAAACTGAAATATTAACCTATTGTCACTAATTAAATTCTAGTAGCCATTACCATAACCGCGCATAATTTTAAGTCGTTATTGATAAATACCTACTAGATTCGAGTGCAATTAATGCGAATCTCGCATCAGAACAGTTATTTAGTGTCGATTCGTGTTAATTATAACAAAGATGGCCAATTAGCCATGTCTTCATCGACTTGCTGTTCATAAAATGACGAAAATTACCTTGATAGTAAAATCACACTTTAGGCCTCGAATAATACGAGTAAGTAATGGTAGGTTTCATGGATGGTGGACTATGTGAACATTCGGCGATATTGATAAAATATTCACTCAGCAATATTGAAACTCAATATGTCGTAATTTGAAATGTTATCAGTAAAATTATTCTACTAAAATATTTCCAGACCAATTCTAGAAACAATATGAAGTATTACTGCGCTTAAAATTTCACTAAATTACCTAACCTATAAACCGAGCTATAAACCTAACAGCTAATTCAACCAGAAGACACCTAATTTGAAAAATGTTTGAAGAACAAGGAGAAAATATATTGAGAAATTATAAAATTTCACTTTCGGACGTTCAGAAAATGAACCTTTCCCCGTTATCATGAAAATAGAAAATATTTCCTGATTTCCTATTGATCTCGTCGTTTGTATTTTGACAACTCCCAGCCGATTTCGACCACTGATTTGATAATTCAGAAAAGATTTTTACGATTGAATTGATGTAAGTTATGTTTCCGAAATAATGGACAATCATATTGAAAAAAAAATTGGGCTCAACCGGGATTTGAACCCGGGACCTCTCGCACCCAAAGCGAGAATCATACCCCTAGACCATTGAGCCGCCATACAAAACAAAACTTCGATATCATTGAAATCAAGTAAGGTGTAGTTCGCATAATATATATATATCTACTTTCACCAGCCTCAAATTTTCGAGATTATAAAAAATCCGATTCGTTGTCTGAGGTAGGTCACCCCAACCTCGCATGCACAGTAGTACACTCTGCCACCTATACTCTTGTAAATCCCTACGACTATACAAGTAAACAATTCTGCTGACTATACTTGAGCGGAATGACTCACTAGTCATACTCAAAGAAGTATATTTGATAACTAAGATATCTAGGATGCAGAGTTGCCCCAATTGTCAGTAGGAGTGGAACAGTATACGGTTTCGGCCCAATGGGCCTCATCAGCCGCTCTCGGTCTGCTGAAAAATGGGACAACTATCCCATATAGCACCAGTACGTCCCCAAAACGTACTGAGAACGTCCGGGCAAGACGTTTCGTACGTACTAGAGACGTCCAGATTAGGACCGTAGACGTACTAGGTACGTACTGGGGACGTCCAGATTCCGCGCTTTTCTACATCCCCAGTACGTCCATTCAGGACCATGAATACCAGAATCAACGTAAATTCGCCTTTTTTTACTCAGATAGTTATAGAGAATAAGATTCTGAATAAAAATTTGTAAAAATTGCGCTCCTACTGGGGATCGATCCCAGGACCTCTACCTACCTATTACTCTACAGAACATTTTTTGATATATCAGTATACAACATTAAATTATGTGCGAATGTCAGGTTCCTACATGAAAGATATCAGAGATCAAGGGTTTGAATTATATGCGATGATTCCAATTATCATTGTACAATTTATTCAATTCCGTCCACAAAAAGTAGATAACGTCTTCAGTCGATAAGAGAACAGAAACGAGATATACCATTAAAAAATCCGAAAAAATCAGATGAATCGAAAAAACTGTCGTGTTGGAATGTTATTACAAAGATATATTTTTGCCAAATTTCATGTTTCACCCTGTATATTAGTGAAGAAGAGAAGAAGAGCTTTCTGATGGTCATTTGGTATTCTCCTCAGGAGCCTCTATTCGTAGGTAGGTGGTAGGAGTATGTAGGTACACAGTTCCTCATGACTCATCCTGTATGAGTTCATTTTTAATGAAGAAATAACATGTCAAATGATGAATGCTAGGAAAAAACATATAAGTAGTAGCCTACAAGAGGCACTATCCATAAAACTTCTTCCTCATTTCTTATTCTCTACACTTCACATCATGCTATAATCTTGCATAATTTGTCACATGTATACTAAAGAAATTATTTTTGTTTCTAGCCATCCCGTCACTCCAAGCTAGAGAAAGCAGACATCCTGGAAATGGCTGTCAAACACCTACAGAACGTCCAACGTCAACAGCTAGCTCTGGCCATGGCAACAGACCCATCAGTAATCAGAAAATTCAAGAGCGGCTTCGACGAGTGTGCCTCAGAAATCGACAGATACATCGGCCAAGTGGAAGGATCAGACGGAGCGATGAAGCAAAGAGTATCAAGCCATCTCCAAAAGTGCATCGGAGGTATCGAGCAAGTGGCTCAATTCAACTTCCCTGGCTTCAACAACCTCCCCTTACTGTCCTCATCGAGCAATCGTATCTTCACCACTCCTCAAGAACCCGCGAACCCTGGGGATAAGAACAACAGTCCTAGGATACAGATACCCCAAGGCATTCAGCTCATTCCAAGCCGGTTGCCTAGCGGGGAGCTAGCTCTTTTAGTGCCAAACTCCAGCAATATGCCTTACTTCCCAGCTAATATCGCTGCTAGCGTCCAACAACGTCCAAGCGCTTTTGCTACTGTGATGCCTCAACCCACCTCAACTGACCAACTTATTCCCAAACCGTTGAGTCCTCCAATGAGTCCTATCAGACAGGAAGATATAAGGATCCGGAATCCTTCACCACATGGCTTCAGGCCAGTCATTCCCAGCAACAAGAGAGCTTTCAGTGATGATCACCAGGTACCACAGATCTCTTCTAGCACTGTGGCAGGTCAGCCTTTGGAGGTGAAGACTCTGAGATTTCCCATTAACAATAAGAAAATGGACTCGCCGAAGAAACTTGGGGAGCCTTTGTGTATCATCACGAATCAGTCTGAGAGGCACAAGCAGGCACAAATGAAGGAGGATTCTGCTAATTTCGAGGAGAACATAGTGCAGCAAGGTCTGAAACGTAAATATTCGGAGTCACTAGGACTTTTGACTGTTGCTTCCACTGATGTTTGTTATCCAGTTGCTCCGAAAATTATCAAAACTCATTTGGTTACCCCCACTTTGAACCTCGAGAGGGAGACTAATTCTTCTGCTGATCTGAGGAAAGCAGAGTTTCATTATGTATCTGTGATAGAATCTATCAGGGATAATGAAGCTGGGAGACGTGATGGTCAGCCATCTGGATCCAGAGACAACAATAATTTCGAAGGCAATAATGATATGTGGAGACCTTGGTGATACTGGGTTTTTACCTGTGATATGTTTAGGTTATGGTTACGAGCTCAAATTCAAGCTTTAATGTAATATTAGTACAAACTGTGCTTGAAAGTTAATGAACAAATGTTAAGTTTTTGATGGATGACAGTATTTGGTGTTGAATGATAGTGTTAAGTTTCGACTGATTACGATTTCCTGAAATAGATGACTATGCGATTTTAATTAAGAAATATATATTTTTTTGAAAAACTTGTTTTTTTTTCTTATACAAAATGTTATTCAAATCAAGTGACCACCATTGCTTATTGTCATTTTTGAAGATACAAAATATTGTTTCAGCAATCCTGCAATATTTTTGAAAATTTGCAAGATCGATGAAGAGAAAATAATTGAGCAAGTATTTTTAGAGTTTTCGGCGGAAAATACATGCATTTGTTAACATATAAAAACGACCCTTGCTGTCCATTATACTCAGTTTTTTTGTTGTCAAAAATACTATATTTTGCGATTCAAAATATTTTGATGCAGGACACTACACTCATATAAAAAGGTACTTAATTTGGATAACTCATTGTGTAGAAAAATGCCACAAAGGTGAATATATACAGGGTGATTCATCAGGAACGGAAAATCTCTGAACTAGAGATAGTAAACACTAAAATATTGAGATTCAGCCTAAAATGCCTGATAAAAATGTTGCTGTTGATGAACATGATATCTTGTTGCAGGTTTTCTTTTACATGAGGAAAACGAATTTCCAACTTATTTTCTGATTGCTCATAGAGTGCGCTATCCTCTTTGCCCATTCAATGATGATCAAAAAAAGGGAAAAATCTGAAAGCCTGTTCAATTTCACATGGGAAATCTACCTACTCTTTCTAATTGTCTAGCTCTAACGGTTTTTATGTTATTCGCTCTTGAAGAGATTTATGTTCCACTTTTTATAACATTTTAATGATTCTAAATTATAAAGTTAGCGAAGTGATAGTGGGAAAGAAGTCAGTATTCAATGATGACAATCTCTAAACAACGCCATAAATGTTTCGACCAAATTTCGAAATAAAATTTTCCCTTGAACACACTGTATCTGGAATAACATTTTTATGAAGCATGTTGGGTTGAATCTTTATATTTTGGTGTTTACTCATGGTAGTTAGGAGTTTTTCCGTTCTGAATTTAATAAATACAATTATCAAAATGATATACCCAGACAGCACTGGATATTCATAGAATATTCTCTAAATATGCTAAAAAGGAGGAGTATATTCCGAATATTCATTGATTATTCCTAGAATATATACATGCCACTAGAACATGTAAAAGGAATATTCCAAAGTGAATAGTCGGACATGTTCAGGGAATATTCAGGTATGAATCTTCCAGGAATATTCCCAACTGAATATTCTCTGTTGTATATTCATGAAATATACCCAACTGAATATTCTGTGCGGTATATTCATGAAATATACCCAACTGAATATTCTGTGCGGTATATTCATGAAATATTCCCAACTGAATATTCGGTGGTGAATATTCATGAAATATTTCATGAATATTCCTTTGTTTCTCAACACATAAATACCATTTATTATTTCAGAGATATGAGTATCGAACATCAATTAGATGTAAGGGGATTTTGAAACAAAAAGTGTTTATGATCCAATTTCGAACAATGCCCTCATAAGAACTTGATATGTATAACATTATTCAATTCGGTTACTGGCCTAGTGGTCAAGGCGTTGCTCTGATAGTCTTGAGGTCACGAGTTCGATCCCTACTTGGGTCTCTTTTTTTAATTTTAGAATATGTTTATTGGAATATTCCAGGAACATTCAACAAAGAATATTCTTTTGGGTATATTCTATGATTATCTGAGGAATTCCCATTCGCATATTTAGAGAATATTCCACAGATATTCCGGAATATTCCAGATTATTTCTAGAATATTCCAATATTCCAAAAGGAATATGATAGGGAGATTCATGGAATATCTGGTGCTGTCTGGGTAAGTAATCCTCCAAGAGCGAATAACGAAAAAACCGTTAGAGCTAGACAATTTGGAAAAGAGTAGGTACATTTTCTATGTGAAATTGGATGAACTTTCAGATTTTCCTCTAGTTTTGATCCTCATCGAATGGACAAAGAAGATATACCTATGATGTAATTTACCGATGTAACAGATTGGCAATTGGCGTCCTCTATGAGCAATCACAAAATAAGTTGCAAATACGTATACGTCATGTCAGAAAACCTGAAACTACAAGATTTCATGTTCATGTTGTTGAGACTTACAAAAATTATAGAGACATTTTAAAATAAAATCACTCCCCCAAACACCCTGTAAGTAGCTCCTGAAAACCAGCAACAGGTATGTTACTACATATAAATCTCAATATTTTAGTGATCACTATCTGTAGTTCAGAGATTTCCCATTCTTAACGATTCACCCTGTAGATAAATGAATTCAAGACGAGTTGATTGTTTGAATAAAACACTGTATGAATCTTTTTTACTACCTACACTTTCCTTTCAACTATAGTTCTTAAATCCACGCAATTAAATAATAGTATATTATACACCTAGGGTGAGAAGTGAGCTATGTAATAGCATTCTCACCCGAGGTATATATAATATTTTTTCCACTGATAACACTGAAAAATAAATATATTTTATCAATTCAGATTTTCATTTCCATTGAAGGAGCAATGCTAGTGACCGTGTATATTCAGCAATGAACATCTCATTCAGCATGGTTCAGCATATAACTAAAATTTTGATAATTATATAATGAGTCAGAGCATAATATAATATTGAAAGTAAGAGCAGTCTATGGATATGCCAGAATGTGTCGGCATCTCTTGGTAGCTTCACGAAACAGAATTGCCAATATGTTTTGAGCTCCATGAATTCCACCAGAATTGCAGAAATCTGTAACTTAATTAGTTCAATGTTTCGTGATGATACTGTATCGTGTAGGTGTCGCTGCAACTCTGAACTGTGATCACCTGGTAGAATCCTCTGATTGGATATAACTAGCGTAATATCAGTGTAGTGCAAGTACTGGCTATATCATCATTATCATTAGTGCGTTTCCAACATCATGAATAAGTAAAACAAAGTATCTCATCTCGGCCAACAATTTAGTCTGGTTTATAACCAGAATTACAGAGCCAATACATAGTCTTACAGTTTCGTGATTGTGTTGGAGGTGGCACCACTTGTTTCTTCAACCTACTTCAACCATAGATATTCATGTGATCATAGCCTCAAGTTTTAACGGATGTTTGATACTGTTATTTATTTGAATTGAATTGAAGATCAGCTGATTGGTGAATGTGATTTATGTGGTTGAACGGAACGTGCTTAGACCGGTGTTTATCATTACAAGTATTTTGATCTGCTACATTTGAATTTTCAAAACCTATTGTAGTTTGTAGTGAATACTTTTAGCATAGGAAAATGTCAAACGAGCAGGTAAGCTGTATAGTACGCTAATAATAATTATTATGTGTTCTGTATACCCAACCTACCAAGTTCTCACTAGAGTGTCTAGGTTAAATAGAGTGACGACAATAGAGACCTCCAAATGGCTGCCGTTTGAGGCACAGATTAACAATAAACCTTATTGAGGAATGTCATTCGTGGGTTACTCCCATGCAGTAATGAATTTGCACCTTCGAAGTGTCCAACTGATGTTAGGTTTAGATATTTGATATTTTCATTTCTTCATCCAAATAATCTGAGACTTACAAGTCCAAAAAATGGATTCTTATAGTTAATATCCAAAGTACTGACGTATAGAGTTTCATGTCTGATTTTTCGATGTTTTGTGTCCATGGAGCAAAAACAGAGACATGTGCATTGACAAAGCGAAATAGAATGAGAAGAACTGAATGGAAAAGACAAGCCAGGTGGATGCACCTCCATATTAAAGGTCTAACCAATCAAAAAGTATATCACTATTGTCGTCACTCTATCTATAAATAAGTCACTCTATTACTTACCTGCCTATACGCACCTATGTGCCTATTTACAGGTATTACGAAGGGTATGTTAGGTATGTATCAAAATTTCAGGAAAGGTATAGACCTTTTAGTGAACAAACGAATTTGCGCAAGAGCTCAATTTCTTGAGATATATAGTCTACCTATACCACCACTTCTGTAACATATACCTACACCTTGTATACGGACCTATATACCTATACAAAATCTGTTACGTCAACTTCGCCATGGAAGACAATAATTCGGGTGTACGCCGACCAATAGGTACTCAGTGGAGTCGTGAGTAGGGGAAAGTAAATAATGCAAAAAATAAACAATGTTGAGCGCCAGGTGATTTCTGGGAATCAGAATTCGAAAAGTTTTCTCAGTCTTCAGTTTTCATGATATTGGGATTATTGGGAATCTTCGACTCTATCAAGTTCAGTCTCGAGTTCAATCCAAAAGTATTGGCGACCTTCAACTTTCGAGATACCTAGGAACCTAGGTATAATATACTTACGAAGAATGCTAGATAATGATAGATATAGATTGGACATTGTCAATGAGAGAATTCAGAAAATCGCTACACATCATATCAACAATTTCAATTGAAATTCAACAGACTGTGAGTTATATTTGGAATTACTTATTGAACAAATATTATGTTATTTTGAAATATTTATTCATGTAATAAGGCCTTGTTTGGCCTGTTTGAATAATAAATAAATAAATAAATAAATAAATAAATAAATAAATAAATAAATAAATAAATAAATAAATAAATAAATAAATAAATAAATAAATAAATAAATAAATAAATAAATAAATAAATAAATAAATAAATAAATAAATAAATAAATAAATAAATAAATAAATAAATAAATAAATAAATAAATAAATAAATAAATAAATAAATAAATAAATAAATAAATAAATAAATAAATAAATAAATAAATAAATAAATAAATAAATAAATAAATAAATAAATAAATAAATAAATAAATAAATAAATAAATAAATAAATAAATAAATAAATAAATAAATAAATAAATAAATAAATAAATAAATGCTTAAATGTACTCTCCTTCCATGTACGATTATGCTATTCTATTACGAAATTGAGGAATACTTTTTTGGCATTTATAAAATTGAAGAAAATTTTATTTATTTTGGTGGAATATGTAGATATAGAGAAGTAGAGATAGATTGGTACCTACTTTGTGTACCAATGAGATCATTTAGAGATGAGATCATCTACTAAGGCACTTTCAATTCCAATTGCCCCATATCGGGAAAAATCATTTAGAACTTTAAACCACTGTTTCAAACAGATCAACAGCGCGCGGCGTATGATTGTGCTTACCTACTCTGGAAAGACTATACTTATGTACTATGAACTTGAAGTAATTGCCTATTCTTCACCAGATATACATATGAATGAGCAAGTTCAATAACTATCATAATCGACTAGTCTGAGTAATACCAAGTTGATAAAATGGGGATCATATTAATAATCTACATTCGTCTACTATGTGTATTGGATATTGGAGCGAGTACAGGAGTATAATGGGCGTGTACACCTCAGTAGAACTTTCAACTCAAACCGAGACTCAAACTATGTTTATAATAATCCTTTTATGCAAAAATAATGATTGACGACATAATTCGATCGAAAAATCAACTGGAATGTTTTATTTTTAGACATAAATAATAGTACCTTCTGAAAACGGACCCACTTATGACGTAGAAACCTCATCTCGCCTTAGTTAAAAGAAAATACCAAACGCCCGACGGAAACTGAGGCAACTTGATATATTAATTTTTTCAACTGTGATCTCGCGCTAATTCACTCTGTCAGAAATCATGTATCATTCATCTCTGTCTGGAATAGTCTTGTTTCAGTATTAGGGTTTTGACGTCACATCATCGCCTCGTTTTCAGAGGGCCGAAAAATCGGGTATTTCAATCATTTTTTATAAAACGTAGGGAGCTCACAGCAAGAAACGGTTTGCGGTGGTGAGCTAGTTTGGGTGAGTTCTATCGAATTATGAAATGGAAATTTTTTGTGATATAAGCCCATTGAAGGAAACACCTTGCATAGTGGAACACGTATACCTAACATATCAAATGAACTATCATTTCTATCATTAAGTGCGCACAAAAGACTGAATCATGACTGGTATCAGTTCTGAACAACCTTTTCAATATATTTCTGTTTTAGAAAACCAAACAATCAATTCATAATACCACGAGAAAAATAGCTAATGAAGTTGCTAGCAATTTCAATATGGAAATTGATGCAGATGCTTTGGATATCATAGCCGAACTGACTTATAAAAAAATACAGCTTTATGGACTGGATTTAGATGCTTTTCAGAAGTAAGTAATCGAAATTGAAACATTTTTACAGATTAGTCATTGAAAATGTTTGTTTCCATTATATATATATGGCTACTCGTTATCCCTCCTATGTATAAATTACAAATATATAAATTGATACATCGCCGAAAATACTAGTTCAATTTTCGATTTCTGAATTTTTCATCAAACGTAAGTATTGTTGGAATTCCTGAGCTCAATATTTTCTGAACGAGAGTGAATCGATTTTCAATAACTAAGCAACAATGTATAAAAAATTTAAAGCCTTCTTTCATTATCTTTCACTTGACTCCCTTTCCCAAAAAATTCTAGGTTTTGCTATATTTTGTATGTCAAAAGTTGACCGCAAACTTGACGCATTTTTTGATTTTGTCGAAAAGTTTCTCCCGAGCCTGATTGCCTTGCGCTACGTTTAAGATGGGCTACCCTATATATTTTTTTTCATCAGACTGTTTCGCATTGCTTGATTATAACATCATTATGAAAACAGCGGTTTTACTTCATATTATTTTGTTAGAATGACCTTCCAAGGGAATTTTGTTTCCGTATTAAAATCATTGAATGTTCTTAAGGCACGCAAAGAGATCTACTATAAATGCTGATGACGTGAAACTTCTGGTCAGACGAAATGAATCATTGGTGAGTTGGTGATGATTATATCAATATCTCATTCTGATAATTTAATCTCTCCGTAGAAGCAGCTCGTGGATTCCAAACTACAAACCATAAATTCTATGAAACCCCCGGAAGCAGCTGGTCCATCGAAAAGAAAAAGAAAGGGTACAGTGTGAATGGTGATCTTAATTGTTATTATAATGAATAAAGTGCATTGACAATTAATTTAACTGGGTTGTGATTTTGTTCCTTTCCCAACAGGCACTGAAATTATTTTAATTATGATATATACCATCGAGTGCTTCTCAACAGGTCAAAAATTCTTGCATGCTTCTTTTTTGGAGACACAAAAATCTGTTGTTTTCTAATACTGCACGAGGACGTAATGCTGAACCAAAAACGATGTCGATTTATCACCTGAATGATATTTCTCGACTTCCTCCTACGCCCAAGTAGGGTTGATCCGGTAGTTACTGTACGATAACCATCAGGGAATTAGAACTTGCACGGGAATGGTGAAATCAAGAAACCCTAGTCAGATATTTACCAATACTTGTCTATGGTGATATATTCTCTTTTCTTCTCATTTCATCATCAAATCGCCCTTCCAAGGGTATCTTCTCTTTTCCTATTCCCTTTCAAAGCTTAAACTTACCATCAAGTGGTGTGGAGATGAAGCGTTTTGTGGACATCGTTATTCTTGCATCTGTGCTATTAGTAGATGGTACAAATTGACGCCATCAGTGTAATTGGTGTAGGCGCACTAAAGAACTAGGCTCTGGTAACCTGATCCAAGTTATGGGTGTCCATGGCGTAGAACCCCAAGGTATCGCTGAGAACATGGTGACATTCTTCCCCCTTTACTCACAGAAGGAGGAAAACTGTTAGCTTCATTCGTGGATGAGATCAGGGTTCAGGAAGCTTGACGAAAAAAGATTTTCAAATGAAACCCTATGACTGTGAAATGACCTTGACAGTCTCTCAGTTTCTGTGATGATATTTCAAGTAGCCCTTATTAGTATATAAGATACAATAAGCCAACAGGTCTATATAGGGGTCATTGGAGAATATACGGTCAGACGACCCTTGAGAGGGGTTGGAGTTGTTAGTGGTTACATTTATAAATAGAGACAAAGAATACCTTGGATCCAACCACCTTCAAAATGACGAGATGTTGAATGAAAGTCGGAACCATCCATTATTTGTACGATATCTCGGCGACAAGAGATTGGAAACATCTTCATATTGAAGTATTTTTTCAATAACCGATTACCAATAGTTGCAAAAACTCACACAATGGCGTCAGTGAAGGGTTCACATATCTATATTGTATCTCTTCATCTTTCTTGGATTCCACGAAAATATATTCCTATTATGTTCGTGTAATTAATGAAGGTCGAACGTTCCCAAAAAGTTTGGTTGCTCCAAAATTTTCACTAACAGCGGTGACTTGTCTAAGTAGTAAATTTTTTATTTTTCCTTGGAGGGAATAAGCATCCTAGAAATATTTTTCAGCAAATTCCTTGTGAACTCTGAAAGAGACTGTTGAAATATCTGTATAGGCAATTCAAAATCGCTTCCTATTTATATGCTGCTTGCAACAGGATAATCTTGAGCTGACCCGTAGTGCCAAACATGCTTTAATTATCCCAACTTCGAAGTAATTATCTCAGGTGTCCTCAGCAACTTCGTGCGAGCTGAACTTTAATTGCATAATTAGGTGATTTTGCAATTTCTAAAACACAGCAATCTCGTGCTCCCAATTTGCATACAAACTTTTAGAATGGAACACATCTTGAATTGTGATCAATTTCAATGATTATATCACGCTCTCGCATAACCATTCTAAGTGTCAATCGACCTTGATCTGTGTTGATTCGATGACGCATCGAATGAATCATGACGAGTAGACCAAAATAATTATGTATTTGTATCAACAACTAATAGTATATTGTTTCATCAGGATCAAAAGTGACACTTTGTTTGACAAGCAAATTTTGCATTCGCGAGGCGGAGTACCCAGCGAAGCCGAGCAAAAGCAAAATTTGCGAGTTAAACAAAGTCACTTTTGATCCGAATGAAACATTTTTTTCTGCAACCAGAAGAATCAGATACTATTTCCTCTACCTAAAAAATCTAAATTATCAAAAATTGTGTTATTTTAGGTTAATATCGGATATGATTGAGATAAAAGTCGACTTATCTTTTCAGATTTTTTTTCTGTCTTTCAACAAATATTTGTGATGTTCAATTTCCTTTTTTATTTGTTGTTCTTACATGTTTTTTATGAATGAAGACGTTTAATCGTATTATAACAATTGTGATTTCTTTTACTACCTATATCACCCGCTGTACTCTGTATGAACATTTACATTTTTTTTCGCATGAAATCGGCCGATAAAAATAATGTTTGATCAAACCTATATCAAATACCAGTCTCAGAACGTACTTTTTCAGCGTATGAATCACAGCGTCTGATATTACCCCAAACCAAATGAAAAATAACAGTGCCAAATTTTGAAAGTTTTTTCATGTTAAGTAGGTGAACTTCTTGCTATAGAATGCATAGGTCAGCTTCAATTTCATAAAACAATAAAAATACAAGCATCTGATTGAAAATATCGTCCGATATGGCCCCGTTTGAAGGTTTTCATCAATAACTATTTGTCATTTATGCTGCCATGGATGAATACTAGATTTTAATCAGGATTGGAAAGAAGTGCTTTCATAGTGACAATAGGTTTCAAGGAGCTATAATGATTGAAATATCTTGATAGTGGTGAACAAAATTTAATATACACCTTGGTAGTAAAGAATACCATTACCACGAGACTGGTGTCTGGGAACATAATCTTGGTCCCTGGTTGATAATGATTTATATACTATACCTTGGTGTATAAATAACTATTTCATTGAATTCTATTGAATTGAATCGGCTTTTACTTGATGAAAATTCATTATAACATTGAGGAAAAAACTCACCTGAGTAATTATTTTCCCGTATTCACTTTTGCATTCAACAGAATATTGTTACGGCAACAATAATTTTTTACAGGGTGTGAGAATAAGGTTTTCTCATGGAAAGTACCAAGAGTTTACTGTCAAAAATGTTGGGGCAATTTGAAATAAGTAATTACAGCGTACGCAGTGCTCTCTAGATGTTCCATGAAAATTAATACGAAACTATGATTTCCCACGTCAAAAAAACCCCGGGTACCAAATTCGTGAAAATGACTCAATTTCTGCAGAAGTTATAATTAAGAAGCGAACAAAAATTCAATTTTAACATCATGTATCTCTGGAACGTAGCATTACCGGACACAAGTTCATATAGACTTTTTTACTTAAAATTGTCTCAGATATACGTCTCTTGAATAATTTAACGTACTTATGTTACACCCTGTATACTGATAAAAATATCATTGATCTTGCGATGAATGGAATTGACAGTTCAGATGAATCACCTTTGAGCGAGTTAATGTAAATCTCGTCACGTTCTTTATACATCAGTTTTATGGTATCATTTACATATTTTAATAAGCATCTCTTAAATTAGGAAGGAGACCTGAGGAGAACAGAAAATCATTGGCGTAGATGAAACAGAGCTTCCAGCATATCTTCTCATACCTGATGTTGATAAAATGGAATGGTATTTTTGAATAACATTGGTTTATGCACGACAGGGCGTGAAGTGGCATGTCATCGCCCGGATTCGCGGGCGTAAAGTAGCACTTTGGAGCACTAGAGCGATAAACAAGTACAGCGGGCGGTAAAATAGTCCAGCAAGCGGTATAGTTGGTGACCGGGCATTAAAGTTAATTCACACTGTTTTCAGTAATATCTAGTAGACTACCATTCGATCTCTCTTCTTCTAATTTGACCAAATGAATTTGAATTCAACAATAAATTCCATATTAACAGTAAATAAATGACTAAAACGGTCGTGCATAGAATGTTGTATATATTTCTGGCGTGACTTGCTTTTGAGACCTAGGCGTGTCAATTGTCCTCGCTATTACTCGAGCTCTCACTTACACGCTGCAGTCCATAAAAAGCCTACTTTACGCCCTTGTTACATAATAGCTATTCATATGTCAAGGGAGAAAAGGTATCAATTTCCTCCCGCGTATGAAGTTGGATGCACGACACGTAGCGTTACAAAGGTATAGTGTGCCATGGACAATTGATGGCATTTGAACGAAAATCTATTTGACACTCCTGCCATCATGAATTGATTGATTTGTATTTTGTGTAACTGCATTTGAAAGTTTTGATTAGGAGTACGTTCAGAATATGAAGGAGCGTATGATATCATTGGAATTCAAAAAGGATATTACTGTTAATTGTTTTATAATAGTGATAAAGCCACTGATTACTTGGTTTGCGAAAATTTTATAGGTATATCGACGCCAAAGGATGCATGCTGATGCCAATTTATTTGATCTCTGACGGGAGTTAATATTTTTTCCTTCCGTGGGAATAAATTAACAACTTTTAAATGAGGGAGCACACGCCTACTTATTCCGATTCAGTGTGTAGATATATAAATATTATGCACTAAAGTGCACTTTACCGCCCGCTGTTCTCAAATTCCTTATATCCACATATCAATTTATTACCCCAGTTGAGGGACCAGAACAGAAGATCTACATCTGTTCGGATAGTCAGGCAGCACTCAAGGCTATCTGTCATCCCAGACCGAGCTCAGCATTAGTACAGCAATGTGGAAATACCCTTGAGATATTAGCCGAATCGAAGGAAGTCGAACTGGTATGGGTCCCGGGTCACAGTGGGGGCCCCTGTACTAGGCATAGCAAGGAGTCAAATTACGTCAGCCCTCGATGACAAGGCACTAGGAGAATACTGGAGGAATATCACAGGTTGCAGGCAGGCCAAGGAATTCATGGCCGGTCTAAACAAATCAAGGAAGGCGTGGCTGATTGGCAGATACCGCCAAGTACTCCGCCACCTCATAGGAGTACTCACAGGACACAACATGCTAGGCAGACACCTATCACTTATGGAAATAGAGGACAACCCCACTTGCCGCAGATGCGGGGAAGACGAGGAAACGTCACTCCATTTTCTCGGCGAGTGCGAGGCGTACGGAAGGCTGAGATTTGAAATCTTTGGAGAAGACAAACTCCAATAGGAGGACTTGATTATATTAGAGTGGACGGATATACTGGCTTTCATCAGGAGGTCAGGGAGATTCGTAAAGGAAA